ATAATAAGTAGAGTGATTATTATGAGCTGAAATATGTTCACTCAAAATTCATATATTGAAACCTTAACCACCAGTACCTCGGGATGTGGTTGTATTTGGAGATAATTTTTAAAGAAGTGATTAAGTTAAAATGAGGCCCGTAGGGTAGGCCAATCTGATTGGTGTCCTTACAAGAAGAGGGAATTTGGGCTGTGTGCGGTGGCTCACGTCTATTATCCCAGCACTTTGGGAGGCCAAGATGAGATGATTGCCTGAGCCCACGGGTTAGAGACCAGCCTGGGCAACTTGGTGAGACCTCATCTCTACAATAAATCAAAAATCAGCTGGGTGTGGTGGCGCATGCCTACAGTTCCAGCTACTTGGAAGGCTGAGGCGGAAGGCTGAGGCGGAAGGATCGCCGGAGCCCAGCAGGTCGAGGCTGCGGTGGCCGGGAGTGGCCACTGCCCTCCAGTCTGGGTGACAGAGGGAGACTCCAATTCAAAAAAAAAAAAAATCGGTCAAATTCAGAACTTTTTTCGTTAGAATCTAATCAACTTTCACTCCTGCTACAATGCAAACCCTTTCTTCTCTCTTCCTTGAGTGCTGTTCTCTGCTGCCTGCCTGTCTTCCTTTCCATCTTTCCCTTTCCATTATCTTCCATTTCATCGTAACCTCTCTCATCTCTGAATCTCAGCTCTCTCACATTTTCCTCTCCAGTGTCTCTTAGGACATCTTCCCAGCTGGCTCTAGGATTTCCTTCTACTCCTGTTCTAAAATGCTCTCGAGTATGTTAATGAATGACTGTCAGAAACAGCTTCCTGGACTCACTCTAGAGGAAGCTACATTCACTGTAGGGGAGGCCCCTTTGGGATCTCACTGAACAGAAAAAGCCTAAAATAAAAGATCTGCTTGATTCAAAGCCAAATAAGCAGCTTTTCCTCAATTGACAACTCATCTGCAAATTCTAACATTTGAAATCTCAAATGTTTTGGAAGTGAAAACTGTACATTTTTAGGTGAAAAAGGTACATTTTCTCCCTTTTCTCATTACCTAATAGCACAAGTGTACATTACTCAAACTTTCTACTCAAAGATTCCACTATGACCACAGGGAAAAAAAAAGAAACTTAAAAAGAAATGTCTTTTCTAACTTAACTCTGACCTTTGTAAAAATGGACTCATAATTAAAAATATATCCCAGGAGACTTTATATGGGGGTTATGAACATTCCATTGATCACCAGAGTGAAGACAGCTTGTCTTTCATGGGCTCAGAACAAGAGAGCAAAGGAGGGTAACAGCAAGGCAGAGTGGATTTCAATTTAGGCAGAGACTAATGAAGAGTCACCAGAACAGATTCTGCAGTCAGCACACCTGGATTCAAGTTCTAACTCTGCTATTGACCGCCATGGAGTTAATGAGCTCAGTGACCTTGAGGTAAGTTAACAGTCCCCCTCTGAGTTTTCTCATCTAATAGTACTTATCTCCTAAGATTGATTAAATGAAATACAGAGTACCTTGTACCAAGTAAACCCTCAATAACTGTCAATTATAATAATTTTTTTTTTTTAGTTGGAGTCTCACTCTGTCGCCCAGACTAGAGTGCAGTGGCCGCTCCCGGCCACCACAGCCTCGACCTGCTGGGCT